GAGAGTTTTCTACCGACAGCAGCACTTCAAACACAGCACCATATCACCAAAACTATTAATCGCAGACATGCTATCACTTCTACATTATTTTTCAGTTATCAATAGACTACTTATCGATAAATAAAAAATAAAAAGTTGTCAACTAGCCTAATCTACTAATAATCGTATCTCAATAGCATTTCAATAAAGTGCTATTACCATTGTACTATCTACCTAAAATCCAATATTATTAGTGCAGTGTCTTCTTCACACATTGATGGTGACAGATATATAATACCTTTATAGCTCGGTGGCGTTGTGGATAAGCGCCGCGGCCCGCGACCGTTGTCGTTAAGCAACTTTGGCAAGGGTCGGTCACGGGATGGGTGACCAAAAAATTATTATCACGAGCTACTCCGTGCTTCGGAAGGCACGTTAAGCTGTTGGTCCCGGCTGAATTTGCAGTCGTTAATACCCTCCAATCCGCATTGGGCCAGTGTGGAGGGTCATGGCCCATCCTCTTTAACCATACATAAGAAAGGCCTGAGCCCCTGCAGTGGGGACGTAAAAGGGCTGATGATGATGATGATGATATTAATTGAAACTAAAATATTGATTACCATCAAATGTTGTATACTTATACTAAGACCGTATAATGAGGGAGGAGCGCTGGAGCCTGAGATTCAGATGTACAATATAAACCACATTCAGGCAAAGAAGCTACTCAATTGTAATATTGAGTTTAAAAACTTATGTAATTTTTTTTTAAATAAATATCCCCAGGGGAGGGTACACCGTAGGGGTTTTTGTGGGTAGGCCTTCAGGAGCCCACCGCGCTGCTAGCCACGGGGTGGGCTCACGTAGGAGAGTCCCACACATCCCCTGTCGCTTGCCGGGCGGCAGGGATAGTGCCTAATGCATTTCCTCGACGTTAAAAAAAAGTACAATAGCAAAATGCAAGTACTTAGTTGAGATTATTGTTATGCCATTATTATTACGTAAACGTCTGCTGTTAATTTGATTTTTTATCATCAATCCGAAACTTTTATTGATTTGATTACGATCCAAATTGATCGTCTAATGGCCAGCTATCATGTTCTATCTCTTGATCCCTACCCAGAATAAACAAAACATTATATTATTAATAGGCACATTACACTATGGAATTTCTCTCACGCATTCAAGACTTAGTGTTCCTATCTCAATAGATATTTCACTTCAACACCTGCTCCTGCCTCGGGCGTACCTCGTTACTTTGATAGAATACTAACATAAAATATGAGACCTTTTATAAAGAAAATCAAACACTTGGAATGTAGGTTTTAAATCTTATTGACACAAGCGGATATTAAAATCAATTTTAGATGTATATCTTTACTAATATTATAAAGAGGAAAGATTAGATTGTTTGTTTGTTTGCAGTGAATACCCTCCAAAACCATTGGTCCGATTTTGAAAATTGAAAGAATCAATCAAAGTTGAGTACGTCATATGCGATGAACATAGACTATATTTTATACTGAGGGAAAGTACGTCATATGCGATGAACATAGGCTTAATTTTATACCGAAAAACAACAAATAAAGGGATGAAAATGGCAGTGGAAGTTTGTATAGGAAATTAAAACGTTACCATAATTACGATTGTTTATTATTGAATATGTCATTGTAATTATATCCGTGTAATTATATATGCGTTGATATGCAAATAAACAGTTCCCTAGAGACCACGCGGGCGAAATTGTTCACTTATACGAGGAGCTTGGAAGCACAATGTAACCATTGAGCCATCGAGCGCCTCGTTCGACCTGTGATCCGGAAGTTAAGAAATTCGCAATGACCAGTTACAGGATTGGTGACTAAAATTAACTATCTCGAGCTTTTTTTAATAGAACAAGGGGTATTTTGCGGAATCAGACATGTGACATGTGAATTTGTATGCGGGCGGTATAGAGCAGACCTCGCGGATACTGACTTGGTGTGGAAGATGCAAGATATCATACTTCACGGTATCGAGTTTATACATATATGCTTCGGAAGGCACTTTTAGCCGTAGGTCATAAGTTAAGAACCTAAATAAATTAATAAAGATTGGAAACGAAGAAGTATATGATATCTCAAATATCCATGGCTACAGCCAGTGATGCTAGCGCGTACAAAATACCCAATGACAGCAATTGTTCTTAGAAAATAGCAAGTTAAACATCCAAAATGTCAGTTCAATCGAAAACTGGGAGGTGAGTCTTAAGCTTGCAATATTTAAGATGTGGTCCACACTTGACTGTTAATATTAATAGGTATGACAACTAATTTTTGTTTATTTGTCCATCAGAAAGATTATTGAAGAATATTGAATAATTTTGATTAAAACTAAATTTTTTATTTTTATTTTTTGCGTAATCAATAAATTACGGCAATACATTGAGTTGAAATGTCGCATGACGTCACGCGCCTCCACTCCTCGACTTCAATGTCTATTATCTAAGCCATTTCTTGTTTAAATTAAAGCGAAAATACGTGCTAATATTTTTCTATAATCTAACTGACGGATGCAATAGATTTTTTTTGTCCAGTTGTCATCCCTATTGTGAAAATTGATCAAATATTTATAATTAAAAAATCTTAACCGGGACTTGAAATATTTTTAAAAATATCGATAGAAATACGCTCACTACTAGTACCTATACAATTTAACTTGATTTTAATAACATAATAATTTGATTTGATTTAATTTTTATGAGTATAATAATTATTATACAAAAAGTATTAACTAATTGATTTTATATTTTTCTTTTTACATTATTTATTTTCTATCTATAACATATAATATGTAGGTCGGTTTAACTGATTTCCATTGAAGTTTAATCTGGTTAGATTTAGTACCGTGTTTGCGTTCACTCTTGATTGCAGCTCAATATCGACGATTTGCTCGCATTGCATGCGCGTGAATATATAAATCGTCAGTCCTGCAATCCAATTTTGCTACTGTTTACTTAATATCTCGATAGGGCCTCAACTAATTTTACTCTGAATCTACCATTGTACTGTGAACCTGAAGTCCAACATTATTATTATATATGTGGAAGACCCAAATTTCAGTATGTTATTAGATTTCTTTCTACTCAAAAACCAAGAGTTACGTTTTAGTATACAAAAAAGTTTCATTAAATGAAGTCACTTCAATAACATCAGACTCATGACGTCAGCTCTCACCTACACGACAATTCACTACTCTGAATCACCTCCTACTTTTTCTGAGTTCCTGGTATGTATTTAGTCATAGTTAGAACACAAATGCTTTTCATAGGCCTTTTGTTTTAACTTAATAAATTAAATTTTTGTGTCCGCCCGCCCCGGGTCTCCAGTAATAAAAGTAATATCAAGTTTCTGCCCTGGTTGGAAAAAGTTGTCAATCTCCACCCTGGGCCTCCGATGAGGTTAGTTTGCCACTGCTGCAACATAATATACATATGTTCTTTAAATTTTTAAAATTGCTCATTCATTGGTGAAAAAAATACTAATTAAAAATATTATATTTTGTAATTTGTAATGTGTCCATAACTATTAATGTTTCCAAAATAATATATAAAAACAAAAATTTATTTCGTTTTACTTCACGCAGAATAATAAATTAACATTTCTTCAACAAAATTTCAAACAAATAAAACTTAATTTACATGTAATATAGCCTAATTTATTATTATGTATAAATGATAATTAACATGTTTTTCGTAACGTGCAGCGTCAATAAAAGTCCATAATGTCATAAATGCAACATATCGGTTGTAAGCGTCGTGAAATGTGAAAAAAGTAATCGTCTGAGTGGTACAAGAAATAAGTTTCATGCTCTTCAAAATATATTTGAACTTGCACACATTTTTGTTACAATACAATTTGCTGTTTTACTTTTCTATAATAAAAACAGACTCTAATAAATGAAACCTTTATTACCTTTTGGAGTAAATTTTAAAGCTTTAACCTCTATGCCGTGACAGTGCAGCGCTCGATGTAAAGTTCTACTTTTTTTACGGAATAGCACTGATTTTGTTAAATAAAAGATATTGTATTTTGAATCTATTATTTTCTATAAAAGGAAGGTATAACAGATTATTTTCAATTTTAAATTTGATTTGATAAATCATAAGATGCAACTGTGGTAATAGAAAATACTGTGGTAATAGAAAATACTGTGGCAAATACAAATGAATTTAATCATTGAAAGTCATATATCTTTTTACATAATACTTCAAATAGTTTGTATGTTTGATATTCAGTAAAACTATGACAAATAAAAAGAGGTCCAGTGGAGTAGAGAGTAAATTAAATTAGTTTTTAGTTAACGTCTTCAATCTTTTCACTTGGACCACACATGGTTTATAGTGACATTACCGTCATCTACCGAGCATATGTGTCGTAACAGACCCAGTGACCACACTCGTTAATGTGGGTCATTTGAACGGTAAAATACAACATGACGAAAACATTACTAGTGATCATCAAATCCATTACTTAATGGCTGAATAAAAAGAACTTTTACTTGTGATATCTGAAAACTGGCACGTAGCTAGCATGTTAAAGTTGTACTGAGTTGAAGCCAATTTGCCATCGTTACTCGAACTTGCATTGTATGAGTGCGACATAACAATGCAACGGCTGAAGTTTTATGAAGAAAGCCTGATTAAGAAAAATAACTTGCCATTGTAGTGAAATGACGATGGCAGATGGTCCTCTAATTCTGAGAACAAAAATTTATAAAAATATAATAAACTATTATTGATGAAGTTAATAACAAGTGTAGTTATATGTTATTAGGCTGATGACGATGATAACTAGTAAACTAGCAAGTTCAACGGAGGACACTTGGTGTCCTTCATATATACTGAGGTGTTAAATTTAAATTTGGTAGAAATTTGGTTGCATCATTATTCTGGTATCATATCACGTGTGACGTGGGTATATATACGTACAGTATGTATGTATGTATGAAAACGTGTTTTCAGCAATTGTCATTCCTTGTTTCAGAACTAACACAGAATGTGGGCCGTATGAGGGTTCAAAAGAAGCAGCAGAAAAGCGATCTTCATGTTTCAAAACTATGTAAGAAGGTAAGTATGATAAAATAAAAATTTCTTATCTCTCTGTCATTATTAAAGTTATGTCTAATAAATGCATTATGTTAGTTAATAAAAATTCATAATTCAATGAAAGTTCTAAAATGTTATTTTCTAAAATATGAATTGAAGCTTTGCTATTAATGTAATAAGCGAAAAAAATTACACTTAAAAAGCATTAATATTGCTAATTGATCCAAAATAATACTATGACTTTGAGATGAACACAAAAAGGAGTCAGTGAAGATTCCGTAAAAATGTACATTAATGTGATAACTGCATATTGAAACATTAAGAACAATTAACGTTTCCAGATAAAATTACCGATGAGACCAAAACGAAAATCACCGATACCGATACAATTAAAGTAACAAAACCAAAGTGAGGTACCAAAGATCCGGTACCTCTACTACGTTGTCCAATGACCGATGAAACTGGTAACATACCAGACAATGAGGATGGCGATAAGGTAGCCCAAGACGAAAGAACCGATAGCAAAACCGATACCGAACCGAAGGAACCGAAAGAGACGAAATCGGTGTCTTTCAATAGAGACGTACACGTCAAAAGATTCGGTGAGTCGGTTTCTGTGATATTGGCTCATCTAATGTTTATCAGTTTTGTAAATTTGCCTTTATATTTTACTAAAAACAGAGAAAAGGCAATATTACATGAATTCACTTTCTTATTATGGGATGGGCCACATGTTAAACAAAATAGATACAGTAATTGGGTTTGCCGTAGCAAAGGAAGTGAATTCTGATAATATTAAATAAATGATAAACATAACCCACACTAATTTTCACATAACCGATTTCATCGATGGTTCTAATGTTAGGCATTTCATAATACATCTTTTATTCTCTGCAGTTACGATCCAATTATGATTCTAATTTGACAGTATTAATTTTAACACTTATTTCATAAATTTGAGGATGTTCCATTGCTCTAATGTTAGGCAGATCTACTAAATTAAAATATTCTCAATACATTACATTATTTATATACATTATAATATTTAAAAACTTTAACTTGCTACTGTAACGCTAAAAATTACGTGAGTATAATACTATAGTATAAATATTCTATCTATTTTTAGTTAGATAATTAGATCATGAATTAAGTTTTTCTAAGCAACAGCAGCTACTTGTCTTAACACCTTTTTATTTTTGTCAACATTTAACTTCCTTCATTTCTTCATTTTGAGATATATTCTTCGTGGCCATAATATTTTGACCTATGATAATGCCTAACATTACGCTACCGAACCTAATCTTATTAAAACTCTCTTAGAATTTAATTCAAACAATAAAATGTCTTAGTGGCAAATAATTTATACTATTGACTATATTAACATTTATATAATCTTGACAAACTTTAAATAACCTTTTATTTGACATTAATATTATAAGAGCCTGTTTTTAACATTAGCATGTTTAATTATTGTAATTTTATTATCTATTTCGATTAACACCATGTTTTGGTACAAATTAAGACCATTTCGAATATAATTTGACCGGTTTAACTTTTATTTAAAAAAAAGGTCAAAAAATATGTAACTCTCATCATTCTCAAAATAATCTTTAACTAAAAAATCAACGACAATATTTAAACTTTTACGTTTACTGATAAAATCGTAGCTTCTTAATTCTTATTAAATATTCTTCACATTCTAAATGTTCGAATATTTATTCAGCAATATAAACAAAATATCCGACTGCCTAAGATGATTATTACTTAGCTATCAAAATCTCTTTCATTGTAAACAAAATACAAACACAATCTTATAATCACTTATGCTTTTAGTTAATATAAAACAGACAAAAACACAATTGAAAGTGTCTAAATAACTATTCAACAGTACAAACAAAATATCCCACGGTCAATTATCAAATTTCCGATGTTCCGTTCGATTAAGATATCATACATTGCATCGTGATTGCTCTGACCTTCGACGGAATTCGGACAATTAACGTTTTTAGCTCTATTAGATCCATTCATGATGCAACGGAGGTTATCGTGAAGCTTTATTGAAATGTATTTGTCTTAATAAAAAAAATCTTCGATCGATATTTAAATATTTTATTTAATGACAGAAGATAAAGAAAATGCCAATTTATATAACAAAAACAGTTAAAAATTTTGTACCAATAACTTAATTCTATATTTGAGTATCAAAAATATAATGACAAGTTCATATAAACAAGCTATAGAGACACCTACAATACAAGCGACATAAGAATACATACAATTTAATATTACATACATTAATTTAACAATGTTGTATAACACTAAGATGACCGCCCAAATCATAAGTTCGAAGAGTATTATTATTGAAGTTTACAATTAAAGAAAACGGTCGCTATAATGTAAAAATAATGACATTGTTTTCAAAAACAAATAGGTTTATTTTAAAATATAATAATTAAAATAAATGTCGAATAAGAAAATGATTTAGTTAATGTTAATCACAAAGTGGCTTACAGAACACATTTGGTGAATATTTTTTTTCTTTTATGCTTCATTTATAATTGTAATTTATAAGCAACATATATTTCGAGAATAAAGATTAATTGCCAAGAAAGATACAAATTTAATGTGTCGTTATACAAATTTATACGGCCAGATATAACTGATGAGTACAATTGTATATAGAAAAAAAATATTGCAGCAATATTTTCAACGTTCAAATAATGCAACGTAAATCGATTCAAATTTGAATCGTGCAATATCAATAAGTGCGGGCCGAGTGTGTCACCCTGGGGCATCCATTAAGAAGGACGCGGGGGCGAGCCGATACGAATCAGGAGTTGTACGGCAAACCTTTAAAGGCCTTCCAATGACGTTGTCCAACACACTCAAGTGTTTTTCTTTTTATGTCGGCATTGACCTGAACCGGGATTCCTTTTCTGGGCAACGGTTGCGAAAGCTTCTGACTGTACTTAGATCTCCTTTTGTACTAATCGGATACGATTGCGATATAATATCAATAGATAGTTCAAAAAAATGTCATATTAACATAAGTACTATATATATATGTGTATTTTTTCGAAAACTTAGGAATGCTTATCATAAAAGCGGTGAAACTGCTATTGAAATCAGGCATAGGTTTTCTACAGGTTATTGAATGATACGATTGATATACTGTCATTTTTTTGTATAGGTGTCACTAAAATATTAAATATCTTTATAAATAATTGTCCAAATACTGTTTTCAATAAAAAGGTAATTTTGAAAATCAGTGAATTTACATAAAACACATACATAACCGTCGGTTTAAAAGCAATCACGAGCTTCTTTGTATATAATGGTTAAATTTTTATTTATCAGCAAAGTAATTCTTAGCATGAAACCACTTCATTTCAAACTAATTTGAATAATATTACTATTTTGAAAAACATATTTATTTGATATCAATATTTATTTGACAGATGTACAATATTGACCTATGCGGCATAGAAATCATTGCAAAATTGCACAATGCTTTTTAATTTATTAGACTGTAATGTGAGCATTTTTTGTATGAAAATTACTCAGTGGTGGGTCGATCTTAATGCCGCTGACTGATAAATCACTGACATAGGCGTCATTAAGCTTAATTTAGTATATTATGACGTTTATTACAAATTAAAATTAATCGAGAAAGGCCATACTGAATTTGGAAACGTTAATAAATTTGATATCCTGCTTAGTTGCGTTGTGGGTGTTATTTTATCTTTTAAGCTTACTTAAAATTAATAACTATTTCTATCATCCTATTTTATGTGTTAGTCATAAATTAAAAAACCAAAAAAGTATTTATTCACTCTGAGAATAATTTACGAACGAATATAATCTTAATGAGGCACAAAGCTTTCAAAAGCATTACTTTTGATCGTGTTAGTATTTTCTGAAATTCTTAGCCATATTATGCATTTGGAACTATGTCTTTCTCTTTATTGAGCGTTCATGGCCTGCTATACCGATTTTAATAAAATTTGGTAGAGACATACGACCTTTCATCGCGAAAAAATTGTATAGAGGTTCGCTATTGAACGGTCCTAACTAGACGGTCGAAATCGCGAGCAAAACAACTAATACATTAACTAAAGATTATAGTCTAAATTGATATAATTATGAACATACAAAAAAACAGAAAAAGAAGTACCTATAATAAAACCTATTTATGTAATTCTCCAAAATCTAAACAAAACGAGGTTAGCAGTAATGCCCTTAATCTAAGCCAACGTTCTATTGTTACGTGATAAAGAAGCATTGACCTCAGGAAATTATGTTAAAACACTAGAAATATTAACGTTTACTATATTTGACCGTAATTCTTATAAAATGTTATATTTTTTTGAAGGCATCGAACTTTTACGAACTAAAGAATGCGTATACGATTCGGGGTCAAATACCTTTATTACGAAACGTAAAATCCCACACGACAATTTGATTACAGATGTTAGAAATTGGGGCATAATTACATTGCGAGTTTCAATACCACGATGACATTCGTCCCACGGTGTAAATTCTTCACATTGACCTTCCTTGACTGGTTTGGCTGTTGATAATGTACGTGAACAATAAGTATTGTTTCGATTTGTGCATGATTTTATTATTTTCTTTTGAATCAATGCCAACAGATTGAACTATGCACTTAAGATTTCCTTACTTTGTTTTTGTGCTGTTTTCTTTGCATTTTATAATAGAATGTTTATTTTAATAGAATTCGTTTACGTAAATAGTTATATCTATTTAAACGTCTGTAGTCAAATAAATATTTTCTGTATTAACATTGGTCTTATCAATGCAACTTTTTGAAACGTTCAAAAATTAATTCTTCTCTACTGCAATATATTTCAGGATTTGTTTTAGCTGTAAAGAAAATAATATATTGAAGAAACTCCACAATATTTAAATAACAGTAACAATGTTTTATGATCTTAAAACAATATTTCTTAACATATATTTTTAATAGCAAATCTAAAGAATCCGTTTTGTAAACTGTATCAGCAGTTTACAACCAATTTAAAAACATATGTCGACATCCGTATCGTGTTATCTAACATAATCGAAAAAACTACAATGAAATAAAAATACAACAGTATGAAAATAAACATTAAAACGTAAAAAAAATATTAAAAACCAATAAAAACAACGATCAAATCAGTCTCTTAAAACGGAAGCAGTCAAGGTCTGATGCTACAGCGATCGCTTTTGTAAACCAATAGCACAAACACGAAACGAAGACCAATTAACGCCTCTAAATAGAGGAAGTAGCGGGATCTAACATCTACAATTTACAAAAGGACGTTTTAGGCGGCGATCACTTGTAATCTTACTTATATATAAGTATACACCCAAAATAACTTTATGAACTTACCTATATGGATGACTTGCTAAAAAATCGAGCAAAAATTGGATATGATACTTAGACACTGTATCAATACAGCATTTTGTAAAGTTTCTGAAGTTTTTGCACCCGTTCCTTCTTGTTGTTCCTTTTTTTTCAAATTCAGTCTAAGTTACATTAAAAACCGAAAGTTATGCCATTATGGTTCATACATAAATCTACAGCGGGAGACCTTATTCT